TCCTCTTATGCTACGTAGCAATATTTCTCAGTTCTCAAAAATATAGAATATAGAACGAATGTCCAAAAATAAAGAAGTTGCTGGTTCATAGTTTATACTGCTGACCTTTTTTTCTCTTACCATAGAATATTTCAAGAGGAAACAACAAAAGAGGGGTATGTTATTCAATAGGCTGCCCCTCTGCTCCTGGATAAGGGGCTTGTGACAATAATAAGAAAGGGAGAAATTACAGTATTTTAACTCATATCACTACTCAATATTGTTTTTTCCCCATAAATTGCAAGGAAAATAATTGTATGACAATGCACATGCATTGAGAGAAAAACTTACATTGTCAGCAAGTTATTGAAAGAGCAGTTTAAATCTAGAACAGCAGCCACAGGACTGAGTCTATTGAAAAGAATTTCAAAACTTGTTCCTGTAAATCCTTTGGGCCTCTATCCCAAGCTATACCTCCTATTTGAGATTAGTGGCTAGGTAATTCCTGCTACCAACATTAATCTTACTGAGAATAGCTCATCTGACATCCTTCCAATTAATTCCTGCATGTGAGAGGTTATTGTACCCATATTCCTCCTCCTGCTCTCCTTTCTCTTCCTGCTCTCCTTTCTGTAAAAAAAAAACAGAACAGAACAACAAAGTTGGAAGGGACCTTAGAGGTCTTCTAGTCCAACATGCTCAGGCAGGAAACCCTATACCAGTTCAGATCCATGGTTGTCCAATCTCTTCTTAAAAACTCCCAGTGTTGGAGAATTCACAACTTCTGGAGGCAAGTTGTTCCACTGATTAATTGTTCTGTCAGGAAATTCCTTAATTCTTAATTCCTAACTATCAGGAATCCATCTTAATTCTATGTTGCTTCTCTTCTTGATTAGTTTCCAACCATTGATTCTTGTCCTGCCTTCAGATGCTTTGGAGAATAGCTTGAGTCCCTCTTTGTGGCAGCCCCTGAGATATTGGAACACTGCTATCATGTCACCCTAGTCCTTCTTTTCATTAAACTAGACATACCCAATTCCAGGATATATGTCCCCTAATCATCTTTGTTGCTCTTCTCTGCACACTTTTTAGAGTCTCCACATCTTTTTTATACTGTAGGGACCAAAACTGGATGCAGTAGTCCAATAATGCCTTATCAAGGCATTATTAAGTGGTACTAACACCTCACGTGATCTTGATTCCATCCTGTTAATGCAGTCTAAAACTGTGATAGTTTTTTTTGGCAGCTGCAGCACACTGTAGGCTTATATTTAAGCGATTGCCCTCTAGGACTCCAAGATCCCTCTCCCAGTTACTACTATTGAGCCAGGTATCACCTATACTATCGTGTTTTCCGCAAAATAAGACCTGATCTATAGGTTTTTTGGCTCCACAATAAGCACTAGGAGAAACACGATTTCAGGGTGATCAGCCTGGCTGGGTGGCCCATGCCCTACAGCGTGCAGACAAAAGGCAGCAAGTGCATGGGGGCTGATGGTGTCCTGCAGCAGCCACTGCCTGTGTATTGCAGGCAAGTTGATTACCTGTCCAAGCAGCAGAGGCGCAGGGTGGAGGCATGCAATCTGGACATACCGTGCAGGCCAGGGGAAAGCAGAGAGTTGGTGGGCCGGATTGGGCAGCCATCTGTGGGAAGCTTGTCTTTATGTCTCTTGGCTTGCCTGTGGCCTGCGCAGAGCATCAGGTTTGTTTGCCTTCTCTCCCCTGCACCTCTGCCTCCATCTGCTGCTGGTGTTGCTGCACAAAGATGAGCCTCCTGTGGCCGGCAACCCGCTCTCGCCCACCGACTCTCGGCTTTCCCATGGCATGTCTGGATTGCCTGCCTCCCCCCACCTCTGTCACTACCTGCTGCTTGGACAGGTAATTAACTCACCTGTACTGCATAGGCTACGGCTGCTGCCAGACACCATTGGTCCCCATGCCCTCGTTGCCTCCAGTGCTGGACACCCTCCCCCCCCAACCCCAGGCTGCTGATGATCTTCACTAGGGTTTATTTTTGGGGTAGGCCTTATAATCAGGCTAGGGCTTATTTTCATGGTAGGTCTTATTTTGGGGGGGAAATGTGGTATACCTGTGCATTTAGTTTGTCTTGCCTAAAGTTTCATAAATTCTCCTATTTGCTAATTGTAATCACACATTCCCAACTGCCTCTCCTTTTTCTGAAGGGTACTGATTCAGTTGATCAACCACAGATATAAACCTTTCCTCCAAAGATCATGGGATCAGCAAGCAAGCACTTCATTCAACAGAGGACGTTAAAGCAAACATGTTTTTTGACTCACAAACCAAACAACTTTCTTAAAGCAGCCAATCATGATTCACTCATTCCAACTATGTATAATTATTCCATTACAAATCTCGATGAAAATTTATTCTCATATAACTCTAGTCTCAGGATATTGCTCCACAGATATGATAAAATGAACTATGAACCTCATAAACCCATAACAATAGCAAGATTTGTTTTAAGGTTGCATATTTTTTTTCTGAAACAAACACAGCTGTTCTTCTGGAAAGGTTTAAAACTTTAAATTGTACAAAATGTGATTAATGTACATTTTGAAAATATATTCTTCACATGTGAATGTATAGATTGAAGCGTGTTCTTTATTGGCTAGGCTCATTGTTAAGGAGAATAGTGGAAAGTCTTGTGGGACTGGTCCAGTCATGGTATATAAATATATACATGTTCATTACATCCACTACAATCAATAGATTAAAAAAGTAGCTCTGGTCATATTTGGACCTCTTCTCAAGAAAGATGAATGATCTAATCCTGAAAATATCCATTCCATAATGAAAGGAATCTTATTTAATCAAACCATATTCTGCTGAAAATTTAGTCTAAAGAGTTTTTTCCTTTGGTTAAAGAAAACTGATATTAATATACCAGTTTCTTTCTTTGTATGGTTCCTCCCTTTTAAGATAAAAAAAATATTACACATAATAAACATATAAAGAGGCTGGGTTTAGGCATAAGCTAAACAAAGTACAACTACAACCTTAACCTATTGAACCCCGAGGTGGCCAGAGCAGAACCTTCAGAAGAATCTTCCAAGTTTCCAAGGAATTTGTTAGAAAAAGAGATTAGGGTTAGGATATCCTTACCAAGTATAATGTTTCCTACCCAAACTAGAAGCAACTTCCAGAACTGCTAGATTCTTCAAAGTGTTTTGGACTATCTTCCAGAGTCACAGGGTACTTTGAAATCTTGCTGGAGAAAGAGGCTAGAGAAATTCCCTTTGATATATCAGATAAGCCTGAAGTAACCCAGGGCGTGTTTAGTTTCTTTCAAAGCTAAACCTTTGGGGATTCCCTATTAAGCAGAATGGAGGGAAAAGAGAAACTACAAGTTTCCTCTGAGAAATGTTTCTTTTTTCTCATCCCCACCCTCATGCCACTATGAAAGGAAAAAAAAAAGAGAGAGAGAGACAGAGAGGAGTAACACTCTTTCATACATACACTTAGATTTAAAGTGTACAGGTTATGAGAGCTAGTTCAGCAGAAATTCTGGAGAATGACATTTAGCCTATTCTCAAAGGTGTTGAACATTTCCAGTTATTTCTGTCAGCTATAACCTTTGCTGATCCAGTCAGATTTCATAGTGGTCACTCATGTCTTGATCACATCCTGTGTTTGCAAAATCCTCTAAATGGGACAACCTTTAAAATCTCTATAAATTGCAGATGAGTTTCAATACAGCACTAACCTATGCAAAGAACCAAGATGACATGATGTCTGTACTGAAAGTTCAGCACTGGTTACTAGTTGTTACTAGTTGTTTAGCAGGCCAAATTTAAACTATGGTAATATTTGTCCTAAAACCCATAATGGTTTAGGGCCTGATAATCTGAAATATTTTATCATCAGTAAACTATTCAAATCTGTGGCAAAAGCTTGTCCCACCCTTGTGACATAAGAGCTATGAGGGATTTGTATATCTGGCACTTGAGGGTGATCAGTATGCAGTTTATTTGCCAAAGGGACCAGGCCTTTAAAGTGAAGTTGCCTTCTTTGTGGTTTAATTTTATTTTATCTTCCATTTTTATTTTGTGTGTGCATCTATACTGTAAACTAATTAGAGCATTCTCTATGAAGAGGTGTGTGCAACATACAGTTGTTTTTAATTTAAAAATGAAATTTTAAACTAAATGTTTACATTTGATTTAAAAGTATTTGTTACATCATTATACTGTTAGATAAAAATAGAACTAAATTTTTAGCTTAAAAGTTTCTCTGTTAACACTTCCCTTTATGGAAACCTAGGGATTTCATAGAGAAGGGCCCAGGAGGAGGGTCTTTTCTGCTGTTGCTCCAGCCCCCTGGAACATCTTGTGTCTCCCTCCCCATGTAAGGTTGGCACCAAACACTTCCTATCTTTTCATAAGGGGCTAAAGACAAGGCTTTGGCAGTCAGCTTGGGACACCAATAGGGAAACAGCACAATATAGTTGATTTAGTAATAACAGAACCCATCTCCCCCCCCCTCTGTCCTCCTCCCCTCCCCATGTGTCTTTGGTTTTAATGTTCGTTTTAAATCTTTTATGTTTTAGCTTAGATGTAACTGTAAGCCTTCTAGAGTTACCCTATGGTAAGATGCACAGCCAATAAATTTTATTGGGCGTTGGTGGAAAGCTTCCGTTTTCCTCAGCTAAGCAGACTTTTCTGATCACCAAACACAGAAACAAACATGTGTGGCCCATCCTCCTTTCTATCCAGGTCTAAGTAGATTCCTCTGAATGGGGTGGCCAATAAAAGTTTGTAAGTGTGTGTGTGTCAGTGGTGGGTTTCAAAAAAATTTAGTACCAGTTCTGTGGGCGTGTCTTGGTAGGCGTGGCATGTCTTGGTGGGCATGTCTTGGTGGAGTGGCAGGGGAAGGATTCTGTAAAATCTCCATTCCCACCCCCTCGGGGGAAGGTTACTGCAAAATCCCCATTTCCTCCCTATCAGCTGGGAATTGGGAGGCAGAGAATAGATGGGGGTAGGGCCAGTCATAATTTTTACTATCGGTTCTCTGAAGTACTCAAAATTTCTGCTACCGGTTCTCCAGAACTAGTCAGAACCTGCTGAAACCCACCTCTGGGGGTGTGCGTGCGTGTGTGCGCGCACGGGTGGCTGGGTGAATGTGTCTCCCACACCTCAGAGGGATCTGGTGATCAGAGAAGTCAGCTTAGCTGAGGAAAACGGAAGCTTTCCACCAACGCCCCATCCGTTTGGCTATTTCTCAATCTTATATATATATATATATATATATATATATAGTGCTTATAGGACTGCAACTTTAACTTGGGTTTCGCTTTCTGCCACCCAGACGACATCCAAACAAAACTTCCCGTGAAGCAAAGCGACGATCCTTTGAGCAGGAGAAACTTCTTTTTCGGCGCTCTCCCTCAAACTCGGTTCTCCAAGAGTTCTGCAGCTTTGCTTTAGCGCCACTTTAGATTAGCCGCCGCCGCCGCCGCCGCGGCTTCTCAGCCCCGTTTTCTTTTCGGGTTTCAGGCGCGAATCCGCGATCGCAAACCGTCGTTGTAAGTATGGCTGAGTCAACTATTTAAAATAACCCAAGGTAGGGCCCGGTCGTAGCCAAGATTACCGGACGGGTCCTGTTCCCTCCACTACTTTTCCCGAATGGCTGTGTTTTTCCGGTTAGGATAATAGCATTTATAGCCTTGTGCATTCAGAAGTGAGCGCCTCCAACCCCCCCCGCCTTCCCCCGGAGCTGCTCCTGGGTGATAGAATAAACAGGGCACTGCCCGAACTCTTGAAGCGTCTTCCTTAATGGAGCCTAGTCCTTCATAAACAAGGGGGGGGGGGTGTATTACTATCGCAGCAATTCGGATCATGTGGGGTTTTTATTAAATAAAAGAAGCACGTGTATTCGGAAATATACCACCCTCCTCCTCCTGCTCCGGAGTTTTTAAGGGTTTGTTGCTCCTAGAGATTGTGGCAGAAGGGAAGACCCACGGCGAAGGCCGAGAGAAAGCGGAAGAGAACGGCATATAAAACCAAATCCGTGGTTTGCGGAGACGCCCCACTTACCCCTTCAGGAGCTTTTTCGCGAAGGAGGGGAGGTGAGGCTGTCTAAGTGGCCCAGTGGCTAAAACACTGAGCTTTGTCGATCAGAAAGGTCGGCGGTTCGAATCCCTGGGACAGGTCTCCTGCGTGAGCAGGGGGTTGGACTAGTTGACCTCCAAGATCCCTTCCGACTCAGTTACTGTTAACAAGGGGAGGCCAAGCTAGGACCCGGCCCACACAGGGCGCTTTGGACGGCGGTTGCTGCCGACTCCTTAGGACGGAATTGGGGTTTAGGTATCCGGGGCCATTGCTAGCAAAGAACCCGGAGTGGCGAACGGGGGAAACAAAACGATTTGATTTTCTTTCTGGTTTTTTTTTTTTTTTTTTTTTTAAATTCGGCTTAACGAAAGCCACAATGTACTGTAGGGACTTCCGACGAGACTGGGAGAATTGTGCACCTGTGGTCTCCGAAGCGATTGCTTAATCCGGTAGAGCCGGGGTACTGTCCCTTGCCTTGTGGCTTCAATTACTGGCAGGCTAAATGCGATGAGCCTCGAGGTGTCTTATCACAGAAACACTTTACAATTGAATCGATCTCCCCTCCTCTCCTCCCCCCCCCCGGAGTAACAACGCCTTTTCATAAACTTCACAGCTTCGCTTATTGAGAGTTCCTTTTTTTTTCGGAGCGTTAGTTCCTTTAGTAGCTTCCGCTGCACGTCTTGCTTAACTTGGTTACTGAGTTAACCTATCTTCATAGCGTGCACGGGACGTAAAGTCATAAAAGGGCTGGGATGACCTTGCCTCTGCTGCAAGCCTGTTTTTTTTTTTTGTTTGTTTTGTTTTTTTTAAAAAAAGAGAACCACCAGAATATTCTGCAGGGTGTTTAATATATATACCAATCTTCCTTCCTCCAATGAACAGGACAATCCTAGCATATCTTGCAATACTGTGTATTGCACAGAATTGTTTTGACAGTGCGGTATTGTTTTGCAATTTGAATTTCATCATGGGTTTGATTTAGAAGCACTGACAAGAGTAGATTTGAGATACATACTGAGAACATACAATATTTGATATATGTTCTCAACACACTACATACACAATATTCAAAAATCACCCATGTATATAGCAAAATTGATTAGGGTACTATTGACTTTTATGCTTTTGGATTTTTTTTTTTTTTAATTTGCTTGGAGGCGGGTTGCTAAATGTGTGCAACACAAACAAAAGTGGGGAAAACTGATTATTAAATGGACCAACTCATTTTTCATGGGGTTAAAATGAACCAGGAACTTATTTTAGTATTTAGTCGGTGTTAGAACTTTTCATTCATTGGCTAAACTGTTGGAAAAGAAGGAGCAGGTTTTTTTTCCACCGTGAAAGTGGCAGAAAGGAGATGATTTACCTCCGTGTCAGGCTCTAGAAAGAATTGAAATAAATTCTTTGTTTTAAATGGTCTTATTTAAAAGCTACTTTTTGTTTTTTACTTTTGTTTCATACATGAGAAAATATCTATTAAACTGTATACAATTTCCCCCGCATTGGTTGTGGATAACACCTGCCCTCAGTAACTGAGAATGAGCATTATTTAGGCTTTGCACCTCCTGACAGCAAAATGTTTATATTATTCATTAAAGCAGCCTATACTTTTTGAGGTTTCTGCATGAATTGACTTGTTAAAGCAGCCATTTTTCTTTCAATTTTTTTTCTTTCAAATTCATGCAGAAATCTAAACAAAGCATCTGTATGCTGCTTTAGTGAACAGCATACAGGAGCTTTGATTATATCTTTTGCTTAAGTTCTTAAGCACTTTTTCTAAATCATTTTTAAATGTTCAAGTAATTATGTAAAAAAAAGATACTGTATACAATAAAACAGCTGAAATGTATGCAATTGAGATGTCTAGGTAAATCATAGTGTGCTTTTTAACTTGTTTTTATTTCAGATTTTAATCTTATTGTTGCAACACATCATGTGTTCTGGCCTGTTGGAGAACTATGTGGCTGCCATGGTGTTGAGTGCAGCTGGAGATGCCCTGGGCTTTTGTAATGCAAAATGGGAATTCCAAACAAGCGGCGAGAAAATTCACAACGAAGTAGCCAAAATGGGTGGCGTGGACCAACTTAGCATAAAAGGTTGGAAGGTCAGCGATGACACCATTATGCACTTGGCTACAGCTGAAGCCTTGGCTGCTGCTGGAAAAAAACCCAGACTTATCCCACTTGTACAAACTCCTTGCAACAAACTACAGGGATTGTATGAGTGACATGGCTGGACGATCTCCAGGTACATTTTTAAAATGTTTCCATGGGAATGAGTAGATTAGGATTTATCAAATGTCACGCTTTACCAGGTGTATTCTGCTTCACTGTTGGAAAAGCTCCATTTACAACTCTCTTTATTGGCCTTTTTTATGATTCCTGCTTTAATGTAAACCTACTTTTTCTGACCTGCAGAGCCATTTCTGGCTACAATTGCTGAAAATTATTGGATGCTTTAGTAGCCACAGTTCATATTCAATTTATTTTTTTCAAGTCAGATCTTATTAGAGGGATAACACCATGTGGTTCCAGATGGTTTGGAATAAACACCCCCACTCTCTCAAGCCATTGGGTATGTTGATTGGGAATGATGGGGCTTAATTACCAATCTGGGGAGTAGCAGCATGTAGAAGGTTAGCCGAGATATAAGAATGAAATGAACTCAAAATTGTAAAATTGTAGGCTAAGGCAAGATCTATCCAAATATTTACCCAATTACTCAATTTTCCCTCCTAGCATAGTTAGCTATTTCTCTTCCCTGAATTATAGCTCCTTCTCTTAATCAGGACAAACATTTAAATCTCTTCAGTCTATCCATAGAACGTACCAAAATTTGATTCAAGTATATTGTGGCATTTTCCTTTCCCATCAAATATATTGAAGATCCTGGAAAACTTTTACTAGTCCAGAATGCAGTGGTTTTTATAGTAATGGGAGTCTCTAGGTCAGTGATGGTTAACCTTTTTGGTGTCGAGTGCCCAAAGCGTGCGCAGACGCATGCAAATGCACACACACATGCCAGAACCCCCAAAATGCAATTCAACTGCCCCCCCCTGGCCAGCCCCCCCTGTGCATGCGCCCCCCCCTGTGCATGCACCCACTCCTCCCTGCGTCCCATTTTGGACCTGGAAAGCATCCTGCACCAACCTGGAAGCCAAAATGGGGCATGGGGGAGGCCGCGTGAGGCCCCCCTGCCCCATTTTGGGTCTGGAAAGCTTCCTGTGCCAACCTGCACCCCCATGCATGCACCCTACTTCCTGCGCATGCACGTGTGCGTCCCCCCATGTACCTCGTGCATGCGCAGCAGATACCCGGATATCAGCTGGCCAGCAGGAGGCACGCATGCATTGTGATAGATCTGGGCTGGGCCAAAGGCTGGTGTGCTTGCAGAGTGGGCTCTGCGTGCCACCTATGGCACGCGTGCCATAGGTTCGCCATCACGGCTCTAGGTTTTCTCACGCAAAGCCTCTATTGTGAGAGTTGCGCTGTTTATCAGTTCTATTCCAGGTGCAATTCCAGGTGTGGTAACTCCCACACCTGAAAGCCCAGCATGGTTGAAAAGCCAAACATGGTTTAGAATAACTAATGGACCATCTTTTTCCGGTGTGATTGGAAAGGGGGAAGTTTCTGTGTTCATTTGACTGTTATCGAAACAGATTTTCTAAGCTGTGATTCCTCCTTCTTTGGAACAGCCTTCTTCCCAACATCAGATTGTTTCTCACTGATTTTTCAGAAAGCAACTAAAAACTAACTATTGGGAATAGATTTGTGATGAGGGGATTACTATATTACTGGTTAAATTCCCATTTGTTTAAGGATAAAGTAATATATTCTGCTGAGTGACAAATCATGGTTCGTCTGCCATTATTTATTTAATTTCTGTAGCCATCTATCTCAGCCAAGTGACTGGGTGAAGAATACAAAATATATATAGCTGAGAAAATTTTTAATAATTGCCAGTAAAGTCAAGAAAAGGCATCTTTAATCCTGGCACATAGCCAGGTTTTTAAAGCCTTATGAAAGGCTAACGGGGGCAGGATCATTTTAATTTCTGAAGGAAGGATGTTCCAAGGAACAGGGACCATGGCTGAGAAGGTACGTCATCTGGTTCCTGTCAGTTGACATTTCTTGGCTGGTGGAATATGCACCATGCCCAACCTGCTGGACCAGACTGGACTGGTAGAAACTTTTGGGAAATGATGGTCCCTTAGGTAATCCAATCCCAAGCCATATAGGGCTTTAAAGATGACAGGACCATGAATTGTACTCTGAAACACATTGGCAACTAATGCGGCTCACACAGTAGTGGCATTATATGTGACACGCTATTTATTACCTATGCAGCCGCATTCTCTTACCAATTGAAACTTTCAAATGATCTTCAAGGACAGGCCAATGTAGAGCGCACTGCAGTAGTTCACACACAAAGAACTATACCCAAACCCAAGAATCCAGAGTTTGGCTTCATGCAATGTGTGAACCTAACACTTGCCTTTCGAGTTTTATTGAACAGGTATATTTAAATTTATATTTATCAATTTATTTAAATGTATAGATCCTTTTGATCCAAACAAGTCTTTAATCAGCTTATAAAAGAGAGTACAAAAATCCTCTAAAAAAAGCAAGGTTGTACCACAAGAAAATAAAATCAGAAAAAATAGAAAGCTCAAAGAAAATAAAACAAATAAAATGCAATTAATCTGATGTGTTTCTATGTCGTTTAAATGTCGTTTAAATGTTTCTGTTCTGTTCTTGTGTCTCATTAACATTCAGAACCCAGTGACTACTTGTGGAGGGATTCTGGGAACACCTAAAATCTATTAGCCTCAGGTTATGCACCACAGGTATAGTGCTCAGATATGGTGTACTGTACTCTGAAAAATATAACTGAGGATGGGTTGTGTGTAAAGTGTGTATGCCATGCCATCATTCCCCTGAAAACTTCCAAATTAAGCTGAATGACAGTTTTAAATGACTTTTAGAAAAGTCCATGTCCATGGTTTGAGTTTCTTGCAGCTCCTTGTAGAGTAGCTTGCGGGCTTTCGGTTCTTGAGAAATTTATACATCTGTAAACTACCTTATTGTTTACAAGCCTGAAACTCTGCAAATCATAGGGATTTTCCCCTTCTGGACAAGGCATAGGGAAATTCCTCCTATTGCCCTGACCTTCAGAAAAGCTTGCAAAGTAACCTTGCTTTGTAAATTCTTGGTAGCTAGGTAGAAACTTTTCTTCAGGATCAGATTACATTAGTGAAGATAATTTATCTAAAGAAGTATTTTGTCAACCTAAAATTGTTTTGTTTTTTTTTTAACCATAGAAGACTACATGTCATCAAATTAACTCACTCTCTCCTTTACAAAAATACATCGTCTGTACTTTTCGGATCTTAAAAGGTTATAGAACTAGCAGTGGTCACCCAGAGTTAGTGAGTCTGATTCTCTGTTTAATAACGAACAACTATATTAAAATGCCTCCAGATAATGCCTGCCCAGACTTTGTTTAAATATACTCAGTTATGTGAAGCCTATTGCCACTCTGAGTAATTAGTTCCACTGTTAAACAGTTCTCTAATTCTTATGCGTTTCTGTAACTTGCATCATTCTCTGTTCTGTTCTGTACAATGATAGGGAACAAGTCTTGGTTTAGTTCTGTGCGAACCACACTGTCTTATGATTTTGAAAACCGGAAGATGTCTACTCTAGATCATTAAGCTCCAACCATTCAAGTACTACATTCTGCTTCCACCATTGCTAACCAAAGCCTGTCAGAAGTCCAATAACAATCTCCCATGCAAATTTTTAGCAATTGTTATTGGGAGATTGACTGCCTCAATCTGTTCCCAAAAGATACTTTGAACTTCTCTCATGTTCATTAAAAATACAGAAAGAAAGAAGTTGTCAAATAATCCTTTCCTCCATTTCTTTCTCTGTCTCTGTCTCTGTCTCTGTCTCTCTCTCACACACACACACAATTAGAATGTGCAACGATTCTCTGAATTTTCATGTAAGCTATACAGAGTATTGCAGATGTTGGGGAAAAAATGAATTCTTTTCTTCTAGGTGTAATGTATGCATACTTTGGTATAAATTTAAAGGGTTTCCCACCCACATCTTTTGATTTATATACTGTATATTCTTTATTCTGTACGTACTCAAAATTAGGTCTCACAACTTTCAGTGGGACCTAATTCCATATAAGTGTACATCTAATTACATCCTCAGATGGTTTATTATGTTAATTATACTTTTTGTAATTATTACATTATTTGCTTCTTCAACCTACTTGCTTTACCAATGTTGTTAAGGCTGTTCAGATTTATGAACAGTATTAACAATTTTCAGTTTCACAGTGGTAAAACAGGCTTTTATACAAGAGTGGGTTTGCATTGAAATGGATTGCTAGTTTTTACTTTTTGCAGACAGTTTTCTATGATAATTCAGTAGTATCACTATCGTTAACTGCTACTTTTATATTCTGTGTTCTTAAAATGTATTAGAAATGCAGCCCTCATCTTCAGGCAACATTGGCTAGGTTGATTAAGGATAATGGGTCTTATAAGAAAACATTTAGAGATACTCAAAGAGGGTTATTTTACATTGTGTAAGAAGACAGGCACAGCAAAAGTTTATTCAGGGAAGATTTTTCTGATAATGGTATTAAGTCATTTGGAGTTATGTTTTGGAAAAGTTTGGTCTAAACTCTATTTCTAGAGTTTAATTTTATTGTTTTTGCTGCCTGCTTAATGAATGTTCTGATACAATGTTCCATCTTTCACAGGTGATACTTGCATGCATTATGCTATGAATTTGGATCCAGATGACCCAGATAGCTGGATACCTAGTTTCTGTGAAAGGGGAGGAGGGTGTGGAGCTGCCATGAGATCAATGTGCATTGGACTAAGATTTTGTCATCCAGAAGACCTGGAAACATTAATTGCAGTCAGTATTGAGAGTGGACGAATGACTCACCACCATCCGACTGGTTATCTTGGATCCCTTGCATCTGCTCTTTTTACTTCTTATGCTGTGAATCACAAACCAATAAAGGAATGGGGAAAAGGGCTAATGGAGGTGATGCCTAAAGCAAAGGCCTATATCCAGAGGTCTGGCTTCTTTGTAGAGAAAAATTTGGAGCATTGGTAAGCATCGGTATTTGTGATGTTAATAGTTGAAAGTCTTAAGCATATCTGATATTTTTGTGACTGTATAGTGCTGAGCAAGCATTGAATATATTCTATCCAGACAACCCACATACATAATTTTGAACAAAAGGTTAATCTATGAGTAGTCTTCCTATTTGAGCTCTCAACTGGAGAACACAAGAGAGTTCCAGAATGGAGGGGAGAAGGTAACAGAATAAGATTTGGAAGGGACCTTGGAGGTCTTTGTTTAACCCCTTGGTCAAGCAGGAAACCCTATATCATTTCAGACAAATGCTTGTCCAATTTCTTTTTAAAAACCTCCAGTGTTGAAGTACCCTCAACTTCTGAAGGCAAGCCATTCCACTGATTGTTCTAAAATAGTCCCTGCGGATTTAGAATAATCCCCTAATCATTGCCAATTATAGGGGACAGTGCTCATCTCCGTTTCAAAGCCATTGAGTCAGCTCTGTCCGAAGATGGTCATGTGGCCAGCATGATATCACACAGTGCTCTTACCTTCCCACATTTGGAGTGAAACAAATTTTGGCCTCCTGGGCACCTGCATCCCTGACCCTGGCATCAGGGAATGTAACAGCACTCCATGGTACCTATTTATCTACACACATTTGCATGCTTTCGAATTGCTAGTTTGGCAGGAGCTGGGGTGAGAGCGGGAGCTCACCTTGTCGCATGGCGCTCAGTTCTTGAATCTGGGCTGCCAGCTTTCCAGTCGACAAGCCCAGCATCTTAATTGCTGGACCACCATGCCATGTACTGTCAAGAAATTTCTCCTTCGTTCTAGGTTCTCTCCTTGATTAGTTTCCATTCATTGCTTCTTCTTCTGTCTTCAGGTGCTTTGGAGAATAGGTTGATCCCGTCTTCTTTGTGGCAGACCCTTAGAGATTGTAAGACTGCTATCATGTCACCCTTAGTCCTGTTCATTAAACTAGACATACCTAATTCCTGCAATCATTCTTTCTGTTTTAGCTTCCAGTCCCCTAATCATCTTCTTGTTCTCTGCACTTTCTAGAGGCTCAACATCTTTTTTATATTGTGGAGACCAAAACTGTATGCAATATGTATTGTATAGGTAATAGGTAATGGGCAAAGCTACTTTCAATGCTGCATATCTTTCTAGACACTATTTGATAACTTATGCCTCAATCCTTCTAATTATATTGGGTCCATTTTTATATTTTATATATCTAAGGCAACATCTTCTAACTGGAATTTTCTTGTTACATTGGACTTCAGTTTTCCTCCATAATCTTCCAGCTATCAAGTGGGGAGGGTGGAGTGGTTAGAGTTTTAATACAAATTCATTAATTTACATAAATCTAGTTTATCAATAGAAACTTTGCATTTCTATTTCAGGAACTACTTTGAAAACCAGTGGAAGAGATACCTGGAAATCAGAGGCATCTCAGATGGGATCTCTCCTCCTTCCTTCCCTAAAGTATTTGGTGTGAAAGAGAGAGATGAATTCTACACTTCCTTGAGTTTCTCTGGGTGGGGAGGTAGTAGTGGCCATGATGCGCCCATGATTGCCTATGATGCCATCCTGGGTTCAGAGAACTGGACGGAGTTAGCTCTGCGGAGTTTCTTTCATGGTGGGGACAGTGACTCTACTGCGGTGATTGCTGCATGTTGGTGGGGGGGCAATGTATGGCTTCAAAGGGGTTAGTGAAAAAAACTATAAAAATATTGAATACAAAGACAGACTGGAAAAAGTGGCTAAAAAACTCTATAATCTCAGCTTGACTACCTAAAAGTCCTACTGCTAAGAGGTGAGGCAACTGTTAAAATTCAGCAAAACAAAATATTTACCTGTGAATTTGTAAAGGAATGTGAATAGTGAATACATCTAGATTTGATTTTAAATTATTCAGTAAATACTACTGAAAGATCTAACATCACCTGCCCTTAAAAAAACCTGAAGAAATTATTTGAATATAATGTAACGTTTAGCTGGAAAGGGAGAGGGTACCTCTCATTTTATTTGTAAAATTAGTTGGGACCTCTAATCTTTTGCGTTTTGTTTGTATTTAGGAATGTAGCAGAAGAATCCGAAACAAAACTTTGATATATGCATTGGGCTTTCTAGGAAGTGTGTAGGCAGATAAACATTGTCCCTGCTCCAATTTTATTTTTTGAATTGTAGTTTTAGATGATCAGAGCGAGCCATTAGTCCTCTAGCTGCAACTGAGCTGTTGTCATCCATCATTTCAAATTGCTGCCATAAATATAAGCAATTCAAGTCCTGCCTTAGCCATGAAAGCCAGCTGAGTGACTATGGGCCAGTCACTCTCTCAGCCCAACTCACCTCCCAGGGTTGTTGTGGGGGAAATAAGAGGGTGGTGTGTTGGATACACTGACTGTCTTATTTGTATATAATGTATGTATGTAAAAAATAAAGGTGTGATATATATACATACGTACATACTCTATGGACTTTTGACTGACATCTTTGCAAGCAGTAAACTACACCTTGGCCTCAGGAATTATAACATTTAAGTTTTGCTTAGCATTTTGCAAACTTCATTCAACCAAATAGTGTTTTGAAATAGTCCGAGTTCGATTGAAGACGTGTGGCTTATATATTATATGTATCCTGCCTTTATTATTTTTACAAATAACTTACACCAGTGAACACTCAATGTTCACCGAGAGACAATGACTGGCTCAATGACCATCCAGCTGGCTTTCACGGTAAAAGTGGAATTTGAATACATGTCTCATTGTTTCTAGCCTGGTGCTTTAACCACTAGAACAAACTGGCTTTCAGACTAAAGAAAAGTCTTGTGTGTTTAAGGACAATCTCTTAAGGAAGAACAAATGATAAACAACATGCATAACTCCAATAATTGGATACTTTGCATAACTCCAATAATATACTGTAACATTAGCTTAGATTCCCTTTCCTTCCTCGGCATTGTTGAATCTTTAAGGAAAAGCTGATCTTCTCTTTGCCATTACAGCTAAGTTCCAGCAAAGTTATACCTTCATAATCTTAGCTTTCAGAACGAAAGGGAAACAGACAAGTGAAATCCGTTCTGTACAAATGAGTCACTGTAGGCATTTGTTCAATGCTTATGTTGTATGCCCATGCCAGTGATGCCAAGCCATGGTAAGAGCAAGAATATTTTGGCTTGCTGCAGTTGAACATCCAAACTTGACATAAACAGCACATTGGGATTGTATCAATAAAATGTTTTGTTAACAGTTCAAAACCATTAACACAGGACAATAAATCACCATTTTAACACAGTTTACTACAGCTTGCATGTGTGTTGTATAAAACATTTAGTGCAACATGGTACAAAGTTTCTCTTTAATAATAATAAAAAACACATTTTCTCACATCATGCAAAGGTAGCTTGTTTCTTTTTCTCTGGGTAGAGAAAGAGTGGTCCAAAAAGCTTTGTGAAAGCTTTTTGCAGGCGGTGTCCATGTTTTAAAAAGAAAGCCCATTCTGAACTGGTAATCAGTTTGGCAGCACAATGGACAAGTCATTTGCAAGTGATCCTTGGTGCTGCTTGTGGGACAATTCTTCCACTATTTAAGAGGCTTTATGACATCCATATACTTTCCCAAGAGTCCACAGTCCACAGATTGGAGAGCTAGCCACTGGATGTCGCTGTGGGATAACTTTCCATAAGCAGGCGTGCAGACGAGGATTGCTGGTAGGGAAGCATTAATGCTACTAGGTCAGTTGAAAACATTTCCAATGCAAAGATAAGAAACAATGTTGTTTAGGGCACGGAGTGTCCCACTGCCCCCTTTCCTTTTTAAGACCTTAACTCAATTACAGCTCCTGCCCTCCAGCAGTATATGTACAAGACGTTTTACATCAACAGAACCGTAGAGAGAAGCTAGGAACTTTCGAGAGAGTGTGTGTGTGCAGGTGTCTCATTTTCTTTTTAAATCCCCTCTCTTCTGAATAGACAGAATAGGCAGGCAGACTAAAACCATATGTGTTTTCAAATTGCACATTATATAAGATTAAGGTTTTGCAGAGGCAGATTTGGTTCTGGGAACTTTCTAGGTGCTTTATTAGAATTTTACAAGGGTGGGAGACTTCAAAACCTCTGAGCTTAGATCAATCCCTTCCCCCTTAAGAGCACCTGCCTCAACCTAAGGTCCTTTAGATGTGTTTTATTACAAATCTGTTATTTCTAGCCAGCATAACCAAAGGCCCTGCTGGCTGGGAATTATGCAAAGTGTAGTCTCCATCTATCTCAGAGACACCAGGTTGAGAAAGACCACTTGAATATTAGTATAACAGGCATGTCTTTCTCTTGACATAAGGAAAACCTTTGCCGTTGGTTTTAACACCAACTCATCAAATTTGTTATTCTCACAAATTGCTTTAATAAGGACAAATTAGCAAAACTATTAGTTTTCACTCTTCAGGAAGGAAAAACCTGCTGTATTGCTATCTTCTTACCACTGATCAACCACCTTCATGTCAAGACAGCATAACATGCTGGCATATATCGCTGACACTATGAATCACATAGATTCACCTGTTTTATGAAAATTAGCAACTAGCTGTGCCAGGAAGACTTTTAGGAAGACAGTAAACACACTTTTTGTTTTTAAGTTTTAAAATTTCCCTGTCTCTGCAACTAGAATCAGGGCACAAGAGATCTGGTCCATCATGTATAACAAGCATTTTCCTGGACAGCACATGGAAAGAGCTCTTGACTTGAAGTAGGAATTCCACCTGAACTGAACCAAGGTTCTCTTAATGCTGTGCCTTTCATAGAAAGAACAACAGTTCTTAGCCCAGCATATTTTCACTTACTGTGGCTTATGCAAGGCTGGTGGAATGAAGATGAAGGTTAGTATACCTGAAGAAATAAAGCTGAAATAACAAAGCAGCATATACATATATGGGAGGGAAGGAAGAACATTCCTACCCCTTCTTGCCTGATGTAAGCTTCTTTGTGTAGACAGTGCAGCTGGACATAACATTTGTAAGGAACAGAAGTTGGTCAGTATGTCAGCCCTTTCTCTGCTCTGTTTCAACATTCCACAGTTATTACAGTGCCAGGCCACACAAGGAGGCAGTTACTTCTGCACCGCTTCCTCAACTTTGGTCAAGATTAGGATCTATTTTTTTTCTGCTGCAATCTCTAAGGGTGATAGTGGAGCATATTTAAACCAGGGCCTTTTTGGTCATTAGAATTAGACAGGCAATTGTACCTGGGGAAGTCAAGGTAATTTCTTTTTGAAGCTAAAAACAAAGCCCCTCCCCCCATATGCATTTTCAGTCCTGAAGTAATAGGAAACATCCAGACCGAGATGGCAGAAACAATGCTGCTTAATATGTAGTATGGAGTGATCCTAGGTTCATTTCTCAAAAGCAATATGCAATTTCTCTGGTCCACTCCAAGGACATGTAGCTGCTGAAACAAGCCCATTTGATAAAATAAGCTTACTCAAAATAAAGTGCCCCACTTTGGCACAACCAGAGCCCAACTTAATCAATACATTCTGGAGTCTGTCCTCTGCATAATACAAGAATACATATTTGAGCAACAGAATTACAGCCCAGAAGACAAATGATGACACTGGATGAAAAGGAAAACAGTATGAAAATTCATTATATACAGCGAACAAATGGACATTCTATCCCCCTTAGCAATTGGCTGGTTCTTCACAGGCATTCTGGGATGTTCAGGTTCCTCTAGCCCCAAAGGTGACAGGACAGTGTAGCAGAGGTAAGCTGGTATCCAAAAGTTCAGATGGTGAATAAAAATACAACAAAATAGACCTCCTTTGGGTTTCAGATGCAGCTTTACCTCTTTTAGGGCTCTGCCATTTAATCTATAGTTCCTGGATGAATGCTGAGAACAGGAGGCTCCAGACAAGTGGGGGAATAGTTTAGGTGTGGCTCTTTGATCCATAACAAAGGGACCCCGTTCTTTCCTTCCGAATTCTTGCTGGAATTTCGGCTTTTGAATCGCACCAGCAGAATGGTGATGATGAGAATGCCAAAAATGGGAAAGGGATAAAAAAATACGAAGTAGAACAGGGAGTCATTGTTGCAAATAACAGACTGCAGAGAGGAACCTAAAAAAGAGTGAAAGGGCAGTAATAAACTTTCAGATCAATAAATTTCTTTTTTCTGTATATACCAAACATCTGTGTCTGTGAGTCTGTGCCTGTGTGTGCCTGCATCTCTGTTAAGTCAATCTTGATTTCTGGTAATTATATGGACGAACTCCAGTTCAGTTTTAAAATCCACACAATTTTCTTGGCAACATCTTCAGAAGAAAGCTATTGTTGTCTTCCTAGTATGAGAGACAACGATTGGCCCAAAGTCATCAACTGGCTTCTGTGCCAAAGACAAAACGAGAACAGGAATCTTCCTGCACCTAGTCCAGAGCCTCCACCACTAGACCAAACCTCCCCTTGTAAACAACTATTAAGAAGTAATATACCAAATTAGGCTAAAATCAATCCTGTGTGAATAGAACTTTTTTAACCAAAATGGTTTTTTTACTACAATATTCAAATTTAGCAAACTATACAATAAAAATGAGTATAAATTGCCATATGTACAGGTCATGGATTGACAATCAAAGGGAAATTAATTTGTAGAACTTTGCTTCCTTTTGATCTCCGAGCTATAATCTTTCAAAAGAACGGTACTATTTTTAAAAAAGTACCATACCTGTAATTTTAAGAAAAAAATATATCAGAGACCGTGCAGAATAAAGATAGTATAGTGAACTAGATCCTGAGACATCCAGATTCAACTACACCCCTACTAATGGAAACCCACTAGCTGATTTTAAATCAGTCATTTTCTTACCCGATTGATTTAATGAAGGGAGCTCTCCAAGGAAGCTGCCCTGAGCTCCTTAGTAAGGCAGTTAGTACATATGTGCAGTTATTTTCTCATATCAAACAAATTAAAAGTTTGAGGGCAAAACAAAAGTTTGGTCTTAATTAATGTTTTTGGCATCCGTACATAGTCCTGGATCTTAGGTTGCGTAGCTCTGCATTCCAACAGGGAACTTCTAAGTTAGGAAATCCTCAATTTGCATGACATTTTGACACAGAAAAGTAGATATTCCAGTTAATATGCAACAGGTTGCTAGAAGCCTGTTGTGCCAGAGATCGTTCTGCAGTGCTCCTGCAGTGCTAATTTTCTTCAATTTGTTTCAGAAAAAATCTAAAACGCATTTAGATTACCCAGAGTGACATAGTTTTGAATAATTTGTAGTTTGCTTCTACATTACGCCCAGCATAACTTGTAACTTACCCACCCATATTTTTAGATATATCTTTTAGTTATTTTTCTTACCTGCTTATTCTGCACAGCATACATTATTTGCAATCAACATTGAAAAAATGGGGAGTTGTTATTGGGTTGGAAATAACTGTGATATACAATCATCGTTTTCATCAACTAATATTCTGAAAATACTTTATTTAATATAGATCTTTCAAAATATTCTCTAGCTATATTCTCATTGAATTTTTACAAGCTCCATTCCTGTCCATTAAATGCCTTAATCATCTTACCTGTATCTTGCACATAAACAGTAATAAGACCAGAATCTTCTTCTGTAAGTTTGTACCAGACTCCCTTGGGATCAGGTAGCCACTCTTCCACGTGGCATGAGTAATTGCCAGCATCAGAAGAAACTGCCTGCAACACAGTCAGTCGATAGAACATGGCTGAAAGTCTTTGAAAACGTAGTCTCCCTTCCCAAGGGCTGTTCTCTCGGCTGAAGACGAAATCCTGGCCTACTCTTAACAAGGCCTCTTTATCTTCTTCGTTCTTGTGACCAGTTTGTCCACTTCTGTCTTTATTCTTCATGATGAACCATGTCACAGCAAAACGGGAATCTTGGCTGGTAGGTGACAAAATGTTGCAATCCAAATGGAAATGGTCCTGTTCTGGCACTGTGAGGTTGGCTATTGTTGCATCCACTTGTAGTGAGGCATCTGAAGATATTGAAGATATACAAAGGCCAATTAGTTTCTCTAATTGTACAGAGCATGAGCCAATGCTGAAAAGCAAAATTTGGAATTTCTTGATTGAACGGCCCTCCCTTCAGAATACAGTTTCCTGAAATGAGACACAGAATTTAGGTTTGCCTGCAAAGGCTTGTTCCTCTTCTTGGCATAGAAACCAGATCAAAAAATGTATGGTAAAGAACAAATTGCAAGGGTGTACTGCCAACTTTCAGATAATCAAGAAAGAGATTGCTAAGAAAACAAGTGCTGGAGAATAGAATATGCCCATGGGGCAAATATGACAAAAAATAACATATTCAGGCTATTTAAAATGTTCTGACTGGAATAAGATTACTCAAAGACTGGAATGGAAGATATTCATGCCTCCAATTACCACACCAAACAAGAAGAGAACCTCTTGCGCACGAAATCCAACCGCACCTTCTATAATTTTGTAAACAACAAACTTAAAGACTGAAGATCCATCCCACCCCTAAAAGGACCTAACGGTAAAGAATGCAATGATGAAGCAATTAAAGCAAACCTCTTCAACACATTCTTCATTTGAGTCTTTGTAAACAGCAATGGCTCATGCCCAACATTCCCTAGTCATACCACAAATAACTACAACGATCTAACACAAATAGATTTCACAGAAGATAACGTTGAAAAGGCACTACGCAGACTAAAACCATATCTATCTATCCGACCTGATGGACTATGTGCATACTTCTTAAAAAAGCTTTCCACTGCTATAGCATAATCTTTGAAAAATCCTTCATGACCAGCTCCCTACCCAACTTATTGTCATTAGCCATGGTCATCCCTATAGGAGCGCCCTATCAAATCCTGCACCTGTTAATAGCGTGTCCCCCAAGGCAGCATTCTAGGACCAACACTCTTCATACTATACATAAATGACCTTTGCGATCATATTATAAGCAACTGCGTTCTCTTCGCCGATGATGTAAAAATATTTAACACCACCGACAATGCTGCTACCCTTCAAAAAGACCTTGAATTTGTGTCAGAATGATCAAACAATTGACAATTCCAAATCTCAACCAACAAATGCTCTGTCTTACACATTAGCAAAAAGAACAAGAACACAAAATACAAGCTGAGTGGACATGACCTTGTAGATGACCCTCACTCTGTCAAGGACCTTGGAGTTCTCATATCTAATGATCTAAGTGCCAAAACCCACTGTAACAACATCGCCAAAAAGGCATTAAGAATTGTAAACCTAATCTTGTGTAGCTTCTTCTCCAGTAATATCACACTACTAACCAGAGCATAGAAAACATTTGCTAGACCAATTCTGGAATACAGCTCTTCTATCTGGAACCCACACTGCATATCGGACATTAATACAATTGAAATATTTCACAAGAAGAGTCCTCCACTCTGCTCACAACAAAATACCTTATGCCACCAGACTGAAATTCTGGGCTTAGAAAACTTAGAACTACGCTACCTTTGGTCTGACCTAAGCGTAGCTCATAAAATTATCTGCTACAATGTCCTACCTGTTAATGACTACTTCAGTTTCAACCACAACAATACACGAGCACATAATAGATACAAACTTAAAGTGAACCGCTCCAAACTCAATTGCAGAAAATATGACTTCAGCAACAGAGTGGTCAATGCCTGGAATGCACTAGCCTGGTTTCATCGCCAAACCCCCAAATTTTAACCTAAGACTGTCTACTGTTGACCTCACCCCATTCCTAAGAGGTCTGTAAGGGGTGTGCATAAGAGCAGCAGCGTGCCTACCATCCCTGTATAATGTTTCCTCTATTTGTATCTATTTTATGTATTCAATTCAGGCTTATACTTATATATATTACCTAATACGTTCTTGACAAATAAATAAATAATAAAATAATTTTTGGCACAACCTGTTCAAAGGGTTTGGCTTAATTGATATTTCTAACATTTCTGATAACATTTAATGAGGCAAAGAATTCCACAATACTTTCATAAATTTTCTTTTTCACCCTCATCTAATTATATAAAAGGAAGCCATAAAGAGAAACAATTATGTGACATAAAAGAAAATTTTAGAACTAGAATTATCAGCAATGGTGATAATGTACAACAAAAGAATGAAAATGATTTCTGGTATTATTGATTTCAAAAGAAGAAGTACAAAATTGAGAATGCAGTTTGGAATTTCAAGCTGATACTTATCCATTCTCAGGATGCTTATTACAGAACAAGCATGTTAGTTATTGAAATATTGGGAAGAAGGGAACACTTACAGAACTAAATTAACAGGACTAAGTTCAAGAAGACAATCTAGATTATGGGTGTCAAACTCGATTGCGTCATATGACATATTGTGATGTATCGTGACCAGTGGTGACTTGCTACTGGTTTGCCCCAGAGCGGGCAAACCGGTAGTGGCGGTGGGAGGCTCTGCCCATCCACCCGGATGCTTTTGCGCATGCGCAGAAGCGTTGCACGCGTGCTCACGAGCGAACCGGTAGTGACAGGTTTTGAAACCCACCCCTGATCATGACTTTTTTGTCCTTGCAGAGACGGGGCGGGTGTGGCCTGCACATGATGCATCCGGCCCGTGGGTCACCAGTTTGACAGGTTGCCACAAGTTCACTAGCAGAATAGCAGATTCTCGATTCTCAATTCTGCTAGTGAGTTTAAAAACTTGTGGAAAATTTTAAATCCTAAAATAACGCCTCCCCCTCCCCCCGGCCCCCTTTTAGCTCAGGAGAAGTCGTAAGGTTTCTGTCTTAGATTACTCTCCTTCATATCTCTGGCTGGTGCTAACAGGCCATTTGAAAACATTTTGCCCAAAAAGAAAATCCAGAAGCTTAACTCTAATGTGTGCCGCATCACAATGATTTAGCCTGGAGGCATTTTTCCTCTAAAGACCAATATATTTTTCTTCTTCATCCTGAACAGTTGGGGAAAAAAATTATTTAGCAAGAATGTCAAATATTTTCACATTCTCTCAAGAGCTGGCTAGTTTTTCAGAATGCAGATACTCATCAACAAGAACTGTAGCCCTTTTCTTATTCAGTCTGCTGATATTTAGAAACTATATTATAAACATTTCATAGGCATAAAACTTGAGGCATCCCTTTCATTTTTAATATAAATCACAAGCATTGAAATATAAAGTATTAATTTAGGGCATAAAAGTTATCCATTTATTATGTTATAATTTTCTTTTGTGTTTTCATTTTATTTAATATAAAATGATTCCATCACAGAAAACAGTGCCAGTAGTTCAGTTAAACTTTCCACTTGAAAGCAATCATTTAATTTTGGGGGGCTGCATTGTCTCCTTGCTTTATATGCAAGACTAAGATCTTTAATAATTTGTCAGCTTCAAATCCATACACAAGGGAAGAACAATTTCATTTGCATTTTTAAATGGAAAAGACTTTACCCGAAGTGCATTTAAATATAGTAATACTGGATTATATTATTTTTCAAACTATGTTTCATACTCTTTTAGTAAATCTGAAGGGTTAGGATTAAGATTAAGATAGGGCAGCTATTCAGATACAAGGCAGGAAACATTTACCATAGATGTTCTTGCTGTACCGGTCAGCAATTCCTTAAAGTTCATGACAGCTGTCCAAGTTAAGGCAACATTAAATTGGTAGTGACACATTGTCTTTCCTGTTTCATACCTTTAAGTATGAGGATAGAAAATTTGGGCAAAAAATTTAAAATTTTGAAAATCGTATCTTTCTTTGGTCTTCTTTTCTTAAAGTTTCATTTTCTTTCCCTAGATATGGAGGTTGAAGATGAATCCAAGCATGATGGAATCTCTTTTCATCCAACAATGTTATCTTCAGTGTTATCATTCTGTGGGGTGGCACTATTCTTTAGAGCAGTGGTCCCACCAACCTTTCCATCTTGACAGTCTGGGGGGGGTGGGGAGGGGATGGTTTCATGTGAAGCCTTCGCCCCTTCTAAAGAAGACAAACACATAAAAGTATAATAGTTTTTTGGAGTTTTTCTTCACATTATGTTGGGAAGCACTTAGCCTGACAGGCAGGAGAAAACAAGTAAGGACCTAGTCTAGATTCACTACTTAACCATAAAAGGACAGAACAAAACCTCCCCGAATTCCGTGGAGCTTTATCTAATTGTTTCCAAGGGAAAGCTGCTGGACTGGAAAGATTCCTCTATTATAGGTAGAACACAATAAGGAAGTTAATTTGAACTCTGCAGGTCCGTGGGCTTGGTTGTTTGTACCTGACACATTATTAACATTAGCTAAAATCAGTGACTGCTAGCTTAGTATTATAGCGAAGGGACATAAGTCAACTGGTCAATCTATGTGCTGACTAAAATCCATGTAAGTTAATTCAGCGCAACCAGATAGTTCACAGAGTAATTTGCAGTGAGCAGAAATTAAGCTGCTTTCTCCATCTGTGAAGCAACCCTCCAAGTAAACAAATACTTTACCTGGCTTCTTCACCAAAACTGTTGTCAGTCCAGACAGATCTTCTGCCCTTTTGTACCAGGTGTTCATAGGATTCAGCAGCCACTCTTCCACTCGACAATCATAGGTCCCACTGTCCTGCAGTGTCATGTTCTGGATAGTAAGAAGATATAGACCTGGCAAAGGACTTTCCAGGTGCAGCCTGCTCTTCAAACCGTTTAGAGTAGCTAACTCTCCATATAAAAGAGTGGCCTGCCTTGTCAGCTTTACAACTGCTTCTTTCTCTGGCTCACCAGATTTCCACATATACCATTCCACCGATAACTGGGAAGCTTGACTGCTCCGGTTAGTGACTAGACACTCTAGTGTTACCCATTCATTTTCTAAAATGGTTAGGTTCTTTTGGCTCTTGTTGACTTCCAAGAGATTATCTAGGAAAATACAAGAAAATAATTATTAACTGAAAAAGACCAGCCCAAACATTAGTTACAATTCTACATATTCAACTTTGCTTTGATATTCTTTATGTATTTATCTGTAACTAACAGGTAATATAGAAAGTCTACATACCCCTGTTAAAATGCAGGTAATATGGATTCTTATGCAATAGCACATGGGAATGCTGCAGCTACAACATCCACTAATAAAACTGAGGGATTGCAAATGTACCAGTCAGAATATTTGGAGTAGCAGGCAGAGATTAAGAACTTTCCTTATAGTTGCCTTATTAGGACATAACTTCCTCCTTAGAATTTATAAATTTATAATTTCTGTTTAAAGGTAAAGGTTTCCCTTGCACATATGTGCTAGTCATTCCCAACTCTAGGATCTCTATTTCAAAGCCGAAGAGCCAGCGCTGTCCAAAGACGTCTCTGTGATCATGTGGCTGGCATGACTAAACACCAAAGGCACACGGAACACTGTTACCTTCCCACCAAAGGTAGTCCCTATTTTTCTACTTGCATTTTTTACATGCTTTCGAACTGTTAGGTTGGCAGAAGCTGGGACAAGTAATGGGAGCTCACCCCATTATGCGGCACTAGGGATTTGAACCGCTGAACTGCCGCCCTTTCGATTGACAAGCTCAGCGTCTTAGCCACTGAGTCACCGCATCCCTAAAATTTCTGTTTAGTATTGTGCTATTCCATGATCTTAATTATATAATTGCTAGTTGTATTTTTATTTATTAGAGTTTATTTGTCAAATTGAGTACTTTCATTGGATACAGCAAGCAAAAAAGAGATTAAAACATAAATAAAAATTTAAATTGATTAAGTGTGATTTGCTTTACAGTGCTAACTGGCTATCAATATGATTTTTGGATAACATGATCACAATTTTTTCTACATATTGCACTGAGTAGCATTGAGGTTCAAAGGATGTTTGGAGCTGTAAGACTGAAAAATTTAAGATATTATGGCTTGCTCCATGCATAAAATATTCCTCTAAATAAAGCATCTTCAGCAACTGGTAGTGATAAAATCTATATAAAGCCATTGCATATAACACAAGCTCAGACACTATAATGCCTAGAACTAGTAGTCTTCATCTAACGTTCTATAAACTCCCATATGACAGTTTTTGTTTTTAAATTGAATCAGGTTTTTTTTCATGGATTGGATATTTTCCTACTTCTATTTCTCCTCATAAATTAATCCTCTGCTTATGACTATAAAGCTATCTAACACCTGGTATTCTCAAGTTGTGTTTTGACTGCAGCTCCCAGAATTCTCCAGCAATCAAATTTTGTTTTTATGAGAGACAGATATTTTAAGTGATAATAGGTTGTGCCCTACATACTGTGATGTAGGAAATAGATTAAAAATATAGAAGGTTTTCTAAATACTTCTAATTCTAAAATCAGCAACCTAGATAGTTATATTCAAGGACTTTTCTGAAAGCTTTTACCGAGTAGTTTTATTAAATAACAGGTTGCCATGGAATCAGGGAGAGATAAATAAATTGATTGGCATTCCACAAATTGAGAGATAAGAGAAGTAATGTTTATTACAAGACAAAACTTGGCAGGACTGGTCAACTATGCATTGGTCCAGAAAGCTGCTTCGCATTTGAAGTTTTAATGCTGTTAAGGACAACAAATTCCAGCCAGTAGAAAATAAGAATATCCCTTTAAATTGTTAGAAGTTGCCACAAATCAGTATTGGAGTTGGTGGCATATAAACAAACAAACAAACAAAATGACCAGGAAAGGAAAAGAGAAACCAAGCACTATTTACATGCAAAGATTCCAGAGCTCCTCCATTCCCATCTATTGAAAGATAGTCTGCTTAGCCCTTGAGAAATATTACCTGGTAACTTGACAGTGACTTCAGTCCGGCCAGAAACCTCCTCTGCCAATTTATACCAGGCATGGTTAGGATTGAGCAGCCACTCTTCCACATGGCAATAGTAGCTACCGCTGTCACTGACCTGTGCCCTCTGCACTGTCAGACTGAAGAGACCCCCAGAGAGTGACCTCTCAAACTGCAATCTTCCCTTTAGCCCTTCTTCTTCCGCGTAAGTGCCATACTCAAATACAGAGCTGTGAGTGGTCTTCAGAATGAGCTTCCCATCCGTGTCTGAGGGTCTATGAACATACCATAGGACTGCAAAATGAGAATCTGGGCTGGTTTGAGACTTGACAGAGCAATTCAGAGGGATAGGCTTATTGGCCACAAGAACTATACTCCGCTTTGATTTGCTGACCTGTAGCTTTGTTACTTGGAGGTGGGGTAATGGAGAAGAAAGAGAGAGAAAATGCATGGTTCAAATAAATATAGTGGAGACTTTACTATTGTGTTAAGATTATGATACAAACTGTTATTATACAACAAAATAATGTAATGCACTTTGCAGATGTTTATCAATGCTATACTCAGCTGTAGATATACAATTTAAGCAATCTTATGTTTAACCATAGTTAATATTTATATAAACCTTTTCCATATCTTTAAATGTTTGTTACCTAAATCATCAATTAATAATCTCTAGTTAACACTATATAAATAACACTATACACAGATAATAAAATGTATTACTTAGTTCTTACAATACAATATTTTTTTTAAAAAATGTATCAGTTAAATAAAGAAAAATTTCCCAAACGTTTTAGGACAATATATATGCAGGGCATAAAATAGATTGCAAGATCAAGAAGATACAATTTTGTATTTCATTTTCTATTATTTGTATGCCATTTTAAGAAAAAAAGTTAATTTCTTATTTTACCCATCAAAATGTAAACAAATAGAATTTGGAGCTAGCACTTCAGAATAATCAATCATGTAAACAGATTTTCTTTAACACAATTTATAGTAAGGTGTGAGTATCAGTTATAATGAAGAAAATTAGAGATTCCAATAGAATTCTAATTCTCAAGTCATTATCTAGACTACAATAATCAGTTTTATAAACTATTAAATACCTGTGACTTGTTGGTCATCCTTTCAGATATATTTCCTCACTTAAACAGAGAATACACAAGTCCAAATTCCTTGCCATCATCCCTTGGCCACATGATCCCCATTGACTTTTCCCCTGCAAGCTTCCCAAACTTCCCCATTGACTTGTGGGAAGGTATCAAGGAACATTGCAAATGAGGATCACATGACTATAAAAGCATCGTGGTGGTGCAAAATAGCAACACCACAGTGCTGTTGAAATGGCAACAATTTCCAAAAATTTCATTCCCACTGACATAATAACGGGTCTTGATATTATCTAAGTTATCCCATTTGAGATACCTTGGCTGAAAAGGTTTTGACCTATGATGTACCATTTTATCCTGTTAAAGGTTACAGTCAGGAGAGTTTTAGTAGTACACAGATTCCCCAATAATTTGGTTCTTTAAAAGATCCCAAGATGTTTTAAAGTTGTAACACAATGTTACACTTGTAACACAGCAGGCTGGAAATACTTTAACTACTCTCTGACTTGTGACAATTAGTAAAGTATTTTCTACACATAATGTAAAAATAAAAAGTCCCCTGGAATACTAATTCAGGAACTTCCCCAATGTCTACATTGAAGGCAAAAATGTTGATATGACATAGCGTGCATGCCCACACCCACACCCACATTCTAGACTAGGGCATTCAAATTCCTGGCCCGCGGGCCAGATGCATCATGGGCTGGCCACGCCCACAGCCGGTTTAGCAAAGGGGAAAAAATCCCAATACATCATGTGACAATGTGACTTTGACACTCCTGCTCTGGACTGACCTAAGGGTATTTCTGTTAATTTTCAAAACAATTATACATACGCACCTTTGCATTAAAAACCCCCACTCTATAATCCTTGCTTGCTCATCTGCTATAAAGATAGCAATAGAGAAGAAGGGGAGGGAGGAGAATGAGGAGAGGAAGAGATAGTTCTCATGATACAGTAATAGGAGTTTGTCTTTCTAATATAGGTTTATGCATCTCTGCAACACATTAGGAAGTTCCCCTAGAGCCTATATTGCTACTGGCTTTAATCAGTATGCTAATAAAGACTAGAAAGCTGTGCTATGCAATGATGTGACATATAGAGGAGTGAAGACCTCCTCACTTCTCTCTAGAGAATTTACTTTTCAGGGAGGCTTAGGCTCATGCCAAGCAGATACTTTCTAACTTACCAGTTTAAGAAAATAACGTAGCTACCAAGTTCAAAAGAAAAAGGGTTATTCTTCCTGGCCCTGCCAGTCCTCCAAGTCTCAGAATGAAAAAGCAACCAATTCACAAAAAAAGAGAAAAAAACCTACCCTACTTCTCCCATTGCTGTTTCTACTCCCCTAGCTAACAGTTTATTTTTAATTGGTACTGGATTATTTCCTGGCACTGTTGCTAAGGGAGCATCAGTTGCTATAACCTCGGTTGCTATAGTAACTATATGTTAAGTGTGGAGCTGTAACACTGCTATTAAAGCAGTACACATACAATCCCAAGCATTATGTCTCTTTACATATGTGTAGACCTAACATATCAGTTCCTATATCTGTGGGAATATGCTGCAATTGCATATAGCAAATACAGGAGCAATACAAATCCCCCCCCCATTCCCTTTATTATTTTTTTTCTTAAATTCATAGGAAGATAGAAAAACTAGAGTCTCTTTGATATCAACCCATGAACTGAAAAAAGAGAAGCCACAGTTCCCCAGTTGGCATCATGTTGTGATAGTTTTGCACCACCCTGTGGCCCATTATTGAAAAATTAAATGTTTTTGCTTTTGAATGACAATTATCATTATGTTGTCCAGAAAACTATGGAAATAATTTTGAAGGTAATAATTTTAATCAGGCTTGGGTCCAGTAGTTGGTGAAATTTCACATAACTCAGCTTCAAATTGTTCATTGGGAAAACCTTGTCAGCTGATTACCAAAGTCCTGCAACCGGCTCTAATTTGAGAGCTGTACACTAATGGGTCTGCTTTCCATTTCCAATTGCTCTAATGCTGCTTAGTGTCCCTGCTTCTTTCTTTTACAGATGTTAATGGCAAAATGCACTATCTCATATGAAAGGCATCGGATCTCAATACAGTACACTAGGTTTACATTTTTAATGTTTCTTTGAAGGGAGCAGGCAATTTTTTTAGCCCAAGATAATACATTTTTGTCTTTTGAGTATTGCATTTCTGTACTGAAATACTCACACAGAGCACCAAAATATCAGCCTGATTTTTCATAGTAATGTAAGGTGTAAAAATGGAACATTAAGCTTGTGCAAGACTTAGGTACCCTTTCATATTTTAAAATCTCTCAGTCTTGCAACAAAGAAACAAACATGTCCATTGTAGGGGTACAACAGGGTGCTGGCAAGCTAATATGACCTCAAGGCTACAGATTATTTACTTTTGCAGTAAAAAATGTTCATTCTTTCATGATCTGAAGAGAAATCTTCAGATTTCACTTTGCACTTATCATGGTATTAGCACATCACAGCATTATGGATGATCTTCTTGGAAGAGAATATATATTCTGCCAGGCAGGTACAATTTACCATTTGTGCTTGCCTGGAAAAAGTGAAAGCAACTATATCAGGATATTAAATGAGAGAAATCAAAGATAAATTGGCATATCTATCATTGGCCACAACAGGACTTAGAAACAATTCATATTCAATGAAAAGTACTACAGTAATATAAAGTTTACACAAAAAGGTATAGAAATTCTATTATGGGTGGTCAAAGAAATGTGTATTCCTTTAAGTAGATACTTAATGCATTTGAATCCATATAAAAAGTTATAGCTATTTTACAATTTTCAGTAGCTCAATTACCCTCTTGCTAGAAAATTAATTATTTGCAATCTCTCTACCACCAGATCAATAGAGGAGATAGATAAATGTTGGCTCTACTTATGCTGTCAGTGACAATAAGAAACAAAGTCCTCTATACAGCAATAGTTCAATAAGCAATGGCAAAAAACAAATATCTCAAGAAAATAATGAGTGTTCAATCCAATTATTTAATGAATATTCAGTCACTTGGAAAAAGTAAGCAAAGAATTTAAAAAGAAACAGAGGACATGTATTGGCATCTGAGTTATCAAATCAAATTATGATTCTTTGTGGCCTTTATATATTTTAACTTAAATATTATTATATGAAACTGCACACTCTTGAATTCATAGCTAGGAAAATATCGATCACTATTTCGCTTGTTACCAAGATAAGGAATTTCCCTCTTTGTCCAAAAGAAAATGAATACAATGAACAAATTCATTGATCCAACTGCAATCTCAACACACACACGCCTCTCAACTGATTTGGGTATTGAAGGTTACAAACAGACAGAAGAAGTTTTAAAACATCATTTTTGCAGCTGAGGAAGACAAGTGAGAGAATCTAAAACATTTCATGTTTCATGGGCCACCCTGATTAGACAACTCTCTATGATCAAAATAAATATGCAAATGTAAAATGTGCCCTCAGTTTCCTTCCCGATAATACTAATTCATTCTTTTAAAATTCTTGAATTTGGAGGATAGAAGTCTTAAACCTGACACAGGTTATTAAATATTTTTCTGTTATTTTTTAATGCATATTCTCTCATGAATCAGTTTGGTCTAGTGGAGGGGTGTCAAATTTGATTTCATTGAGGGCCGCATCAGGGTTTTGTTTCACCTCGGGGGGGGGGGGACAGGATGGGCATGACCAGGATGGGCGTGGCCAACTTGACATCACTCGTGTTTGGGGATGCCTGTGGCCTGAGCCCTGTGCCAGCAAAAACTTGCTCCTAAGCTCTGTTTTTGGCTGGGATGGCCTCCTGCAACCCTCTGCCGGGGAAAATGGAGCTTGGGGGGGGCACACATGACCCTCCTGAGCGCTGTTTTCCCTGGCAGAGGCACTGTGGGCCAATTCTTTGCTGTTTCCAGGGCAGCCTTGTGGGCCAGATCTAAGCACCCCGTGGGCCGGATTCGGGCCATGGGCCTTGAGTTTGACATCCCTGGTCTAGTGGTTAAGGCACTAGGCTAGAAACTAGGAGACTGAGTTCAAATCCAACCTTAGCCATGAAAGCCAGCTGAGTGACTCTGGGCCGGTCATTTTTTCTCATTCCACTCCACCCCACTGGGATGTTGTTTTGGGGGAAATGGGAAGAAGCAGTATTAGGTATGTTTGCTACCTTGAATTATTTGTAAAAATAATAAAGGCGGGTATAAATAAATATATAAATATAAATGAGATAAAAAGAAAAAAAAAATCCATACCTGTCCCCTAATTAACCTAATAACTAATCTAG